CGATTGTTTTAATCTTTCTACTATTGCAAATCATAGTCAGTCATTTTTGTCATGAATGTATAAAATCCTGAACTTATTTATTTAAATTTGAAATGAGAACACAAACATTTAAACTATAATAATGAAAGAACAAAAATAGAATCTAATGACATCATTTCTTTTCAAGGCAACTAATGAAGAAGAGCTGGAAACCGCTTTAAATATTGCCTTGGAGGCTGGATACAGACATATAGACACAGCTCCAGTATATGAAAATGAAAAAGTAATTGGTAGAGTCCTTAAAAAATGGATTGACTCTGGAAAAATAAAACGATCTGAACTCTTCATCGTCACAAAGGTAGTATAAGCACAGCTATAATTTAACTACTCTATGTTACTCTTACTGAATCCTTTTTATTTTCCTAAGTATTTATTATTCAGAAAATTATTCGGAGTGTAGCATTTAAAACATGTCATTTAAATATTTTACATAGTATTGTTGATGGGGAAAAATGCATCAAATAAACCGTGCTTGGTCTTGAAGGTATATGTATAATCTGGTGTCACTAATTATGAAAGATATAAAGGAGACATAGAGGAGATGAAATGTCAACTGGATTTTTTAAATAGAATACCTTTTTGTATTACATTAGATCAGTGCAAAAAATCGTACCTTATTTCAACAACATATTTTTGTATTTTGACAATATTTACATTGTAAACAAAAATTTTGAAAAAAGTAAAAGAAAGATTTCTTTGTGCCATGTCATTCTCTACAAATTTTAGAAAAATGTAATGGTGGTAAATACTGTAAAAGAACGTTCGATACGTTTAGCAAAACTGAACAGTTTTTGTAAATTGTCTACAAGTAATTGTCTACAATAGTTGGAGATCTTATGCTTAATTTATTGTACAATTATCCCAATAGCAAACTGAAAAATTCCACAGAAATTCAAAAAATCAACCTTCCCGCGTTTTAAAAAATGTTAACTAATGAAATTTATCAACTGATCTGTTCCCACTTATTGTTGGTATATGTATTGCTACTATAATTACTTATAACAGTTATAATACAATGACATTCATTCACATTTGTTTCTATTCATCTCTATACTTCTATTTCTGAAGAAAATTAAAAAAATAAATATTCCACAATAAACCTTAACCAATCATGACATGCAATGTATAAGAAACGCTTACGCTGATAGATTTAATGAAATTCGTCATGAGGTGTTACTAATATTTCAAATTATTAGATCTTATATCAAGGTTGTTGATCTGACCACTTGTATTAACAGTGAGTTAATAGATGTATTTCCTTATAGAAATATCCTAAAACTATTATTACACAATCTTCTATTGGAGTTGACCTTGTACAAACTTGAACGACTTTCCCAATACATATCCATTATGAAATACTGTGCGTTACATACATTTTATGATATTTTATGACATTTATAATATTTTCTCTTTCA